TCGAAAAACCAAAAAAAAAAAAAAAAAAATTGCGTGTGTGTGTGTGTGTGTGTGTGTGTGTGTGTGTGTGTGTGTCTATGTGGGAGTATGTGCACATGGGTACAGGTGTCCACAGAGGCCAGATGAGGGCATCAGATCTCCCTGGAGGTAGAGCTACAGGCAGTTGTGAGCTCCCAAAGCGGGTGCTAGGAACTGACTTCTAGTCCTTTGCGAGAGTAGCAAGCACTCATAACCACCAAGCTGTCTCTCTGGCCTTCAATCAGGTTCTCCCCACCATTCTTACGCCCCTTCCACGTTTTAAGAACTGCCTCTGTGGTTTGGGTAAGTCCTCCTAAGGGTCGTGTGTTAAAGACTCAGGCCCAGCTTCGGGCTTGTGGCAGTATTGTCAAGGGCAGCAATGGTTGGAGGTCTTGAAGATGATTAAGGACCTTCCCTTGAAGCAGATTATGGGACCCTAGGCCCTCCTCTCTCCTGCTTCCCTCTTGCCGAGATGTGCAGCCTCATCACAGGCCCAGAGCAGCAGGGCCAGTCCACCACGGACAGCAGCCTCCAAAAGGTAAGACAAAATAAACTTTATCCACCACAGCAATAGGAAGCTAACCAACATGACCGCTAATTGAAAAACAAGTATTAGACTACAATAAACCTTCTCACTGATCTTAACTGAGTAACTATTACACAGAAATAAATGAGGAAATAAATGAAAAAATGATATAGAAATTACGGCTTTACCAGGGTCAACTGGTACATTCTTGCTGGCGTACAGTTAAAAGTACCGGGAAAGCTGGGCATGGTGGTATGCGCTCATAATCCCAGTGCTCAAGAGACTGAGGCAGGAAGTTTACTGTGAGTTCAAGACTGGGCTGCATTGTGGGTGTCAGAGAAGCTAGTATTACATAGCTAGACCCTGTATTCAAAATCAAACAATCCCAAAAAAACGAACAAACAACCAACCTAAAAGCACCAGGGAGAAGGAGTAGGAAGAACGATGTGATTGATGGAATGGCCAGGATAATGAATCACCAGAAAGCAGTCTAGAACAGGCCTGCACCCGCCAACACGCTCTGGGCTCTGTTCCACCAAGACTTCGGGCTCCTTGTTTCCAAGGCTCACTGCCCATGGCTCCCCTTTCCTTCCCTAGGGCAATGCCCTCTGAGGCTCTAGGAATCATGGTAGCAGATGACTGAGCATTCAGAAAACGCGGCCACGCGGGAAGCAAGCCGCTGAGCCTACCGTGATTCAGGTGTCTGATGCAGTCATTGACAAGAGTGCTGAACTTCTGCTGCTCGGCGGCCTCGTGGAAACAGAAGTAGCCATGCCTGAGGTAAGGCTGCCACAGGTACACCGGGAACGCCTTGGGCAGGACCACGAAGGGCTGAGAGTTCTTCTCACTGGAAGCTGGAATGGAAGCCCAGAGAGTTTTAAAGCATGAGTCTTGTGTTTTAAATACTTACTTCAGTCTGTCAAAGTATCCAGGGCAGACACAGGATAGCTCCATCCTACCGTCCACACAGTCTGTCAACAGTCTGTCCCTTCCCACAGGTATCCTCCACAGAGAGAGACAGACAGCCTCTCTTCTTCCTCGGCTCCCTACTGTTGAAAGCATCTCCAAAGACCCACACGCAGAGCTCCCTTCTCATGCATCTCTGGGCCTCACCGGCTCCTTGCAGGCTTGGTTCCCCCAGGTTTCTTCCCCCTCTGTGGTAAAGCTGAGCAGCGCTCCCTGACTGCACAGCCCGCTCTTCTCACTTCCATCTGACTCCTGCCGCACCAGCTCCTGGACCCAACGGCTGAAGTCACAAATGTCACCGGGGCCACCAGCTCTTGGCTTATCTACCCACTGTCCTTTTACTCTGGTCTGTGACATGTGTTGCTGCCGGCATCCCATTCTCCAGACGACATTCCCTCCCTGGTTGAATGTGCATCTCTCCTGGTTCTCATCGTGTCTATTCCCCCCGCCCCCCCCCCAAAGTGTCATCTCTTGCACCGATGGCTTCCTTTGCCACGTCACTCTCTCCCTGTCAAGTGCTGGCACTTGTCCAGCTGTGTGTTTGGTTCCACTCTACTTTTGGTCTTTACCCCTCCAAAGGGTGTCCATCCATTCCACAACGTAAAGATTCCCACAATCCTTGTCACCTTCCTTCTTTCCACATTGCGCCCTTTCAGAGAAAAATCATTTCACCTTCCACTAGGTGGTTCAAAGGTCACCTCCTTTGATAATCCTTCACTGGCACCTGCCACCAAGACAGAACTATGTGATCTCTAATGTTCTCCAAAAATAGGACAGTGACCAGTTTCCACGCCTGGCCCCCACTGAGGAGGAAGGGTGGGTAGAGGAACTCCGCTTCTTGATTCTCGGGTGCACCCTTCTCTGAAGAGTGGCTTCTAGAGGATGGAGCCACTTCTGACATAGCCTTTATGTGCGTGTGTGTGCGCGCGCGTTTGTGTGTGTGTGTGTGTGTGTATACATATATATGAGGATGTATGGAGTTGTAGAACCTAGAAGACATTCAACTTCATCATGTTGAATGAACAGATATGCTCTGTTGATCTAAAAAAAGTTTAGAAGCCCTGAAAAAGACAAGACTAGGAGGCTACAGGTCTAGCTCAATGATAGAGTAGCTGCCCAATATCTGGGTTCAATTCTATCAACACATGAGCAAACACACAAACACACACATGCACACACAAGGATATATGTGTATATATATATGAAGAGAAGTCTAACTATTTCTTCCAAATCAATCCCAGAAAGTCATGTGAAACCATGCCTCTCTCCAGAAACCCTACCCAGCCTAATCCTTGCATCCCTATCACATGACATCACATTGGTTAGAAGATCCAACTTCTTTCTACAGCCATGGGGAGCACACAGAAGGTACAGTGTGTCCTGTGAGCACAAATCTCTAGGAAAGGAAGGAAATTGGAGCCCTCTAAGAGGCTGGAGCATGCTGGGCATACCAAGAAATGGATCAGAACCATAAGGGAAGCTTTCAGAACTAAGTCAGCTCTTGGAGAATGAATAATCCAAGATAAAATGAGATTTGGTTACAACAAGTACAGGAACCTGGTTTCCACTGTCCTGAAATCCAAAGGCAGGAGACAGAATGGTCTGGGAACAAAGGCTGAGCCCACCAGTGCCAGCACAACACCCAGAACATAAGAAGGAATCAACATGTGTACACACAAACAAACAGTTACACACGGAAGAGATTCCCCCTTCCTGCAGTTGTGAGCTTGGTCTTAACGGAGCAGGAAGTTTTGAAGAATGAAAACACACATTTCAGCCTCCCTTGGAGTATGGCAGTCCACTGTTCCTAAGCTATAGCCAATGGGAAATGACCTGAAATGCCACAGCAGACCTCCTGCAGGCATCCTTAAGAAAGCAACCCCTCCCCCACCTCCTCCCCTTTTCTCCTTCTTGCTACATGGAAAGAGCCATAGCTCCAGTACCCATGCTGCTGTTGTTAGAATAACAAGTGCTAATAAGCACCCAAACTTAAAAAAGGAGAAAGCCAGAAGAGCCCAAGTCCTCGACAAATACATGGATCTGCCACACTAACCCTGGATTAGCACTCAAGTACTTTATATGAAGATAATAAAACCTTGCAGACTTAACTTGAATTTCATTGTGTGCAGCAAACCAGATTCTAACTAATAAAATGCCCAATGATGGACTCACAGTAGTAAAGCATGGGGACACTTTTTTTTGACAGCTCACGCTGCCAGATCATGCCACAGAGAACATACACGACTCCATTAGTCTCCAATGCCTCCCCTCTAGCAATGTTAGTGCCCCCCTTTTTAAACGTGTTTAAATTTGTTCTTATGGGTAGAAGTAGCATCATGGGGTAAATCTGATTCACGTGGTTTATGAAGCAAGTCTTCGTGCCCTTTCTAAGATGTCGCAATTTCATACAAACGACAGAAAGTAACACTGACTCTCTATATTCAAAAGCTTCAGCAATCCTTACAAAATCAACTCCCTCTGACCTCTAGTTACCTCTCGTTAAACCTTCCATAACAGTTTCCTAGATTCCATCCATCTACATTTTTGTCTGAGTTGATTTACAAGAATATCACAAATGAGCTATTGTGGAATATTCTATTTTTAAAACTGAGCAGGCCACACCATACAATAAAAATAGTCACTGAAATGCTATGTGTGAAGCCCTGGGCTATCTAGGCATGAGTCACACAAGCTTTATGCTTTTCATTCCTTCTGATATGATTTCATCAATAAATCCTTAAGTGTATTTGTCTGTTCTGAGAGATTACATTGGAAAGTTCTGGAGAGATTCTCAAGAATCAACATGCTAGTATTCTCATTTTTAGCTGTGGGTACACAGCCAATGTAGCACACAGGTAGATGTTGGGAGAAAATTTCATGTATTTTTTAGGTAGTAAGCACATAAAATATTGCTTTAGCCTGAATTACTTAGTAATAATTTGATAATCTAGTTTTATGGTCCATGTACGATCTATAATTGTATTATTAAAAACACCACACTAAGCAATCTACCCCAGACTAACAACTGATGGCATGATTATATAGTTCTCCATAAATTCTGATGAAATGATGATGCCTATTAATAAGATCCAGGGCTCTCTTCAAGAAAGCAAGTAATGAATGTGCGGGGTGATTCACACAAAGGCAGATGGAGTTATTATATTATGCACAGTTCATGAATTTCTATGAAATGCCCTATTTAGCCTATATAGTATCCGTCATTTTTCTCTACATAAAAATAAGTGAGATGAATGAGAATCAAAGAATTTTAAAGCTGGAAAGAATCTTCCAAAAATTTCAAGTTCAAGGCTCCATTTTAAGGCAGAAGAAAGAAACACCAGAAGTGCTCAGGGCCCGCCACCCTGAAAACACCTGCTAAGCCTCACAGTGGGAGCTTCATCCACATCCACGCCCCCAGTTCTCAGCCCACGCTCTTTCTACAGCAGCGCTCGGCGTTATTTACAGACCGGTGAACAAAGGCAGTGCTTTCTTTTCCTCCACAGCTATGAGTTCCTGTAGCATTGACTTAGCATGGGCTTACTTTTCGACAACTGGGAATATTTTATTGCACATCACTGTGAAAATGAGGTAATAACCCCTAACAGGTCAAGTCTTGCTTACTGAGAAGTGAAATTGTACCTGCTGCACAGAATGCCTGCTGTCTTGAGTGTTATTATCAAATTCTTCAGTGTATCCCTAAAGCTCTAAGATATCTGACCAAGAACACACTTTCTAACGCCAGAAGCACAGTAACTGCCTATGTGACTCAGTGGATGCGAAGTAATAGAAACGGTATAACGTCGACCTAGAGTAAACAAATTCCATTATCTACCTGAATATGGAATGTCAGGGTTCAGCACAGGGTTTCCCCACCATAGCATCACTGGCACCTTAAGCCACTCATCTCTCTCTTTGGGGTTGCCCTGAGAATTGTGGGTTGTTTAACAGAATTGCTGGTCTAAATGTCTACATCACTCACCTTCCAAGTCTCCAGACACTGCCCAGTGTCCCTGGAAGGGGACTATTCTCCCTCACTGAGGACCGACCGCTGGTCTAGCTACACAAAGTAAGTTCAGGGAAAGACAGGGGAACTCACCAATGGGGTCTGGGAAATGCTTATCAGATAAGAGATTATATTCCTCTTCTGAGGTTAAAACCTTGCCTCCTGCTGGAAGAATTCGGCTTTTAGGAACAGCTCCTCTCTGATAGGCCTAAGAAGAAGAGACATGAAATGAATGATTTCTCCCAATACATATATTTTTAAAATGTCAGAAATCTTTACAAAAAAAAAAAAAGACCAAACAAGTCCAGACACATATATCCAGTGACAGACATCCCCACACTATGTCATTCATCTTTTTTTTTTTTTTTGGTTTGCGTTCTTGCTGCTTACAAGGTGACATTTTTTTTCTTCTGTTTGATGGTCACTTCCGGAATGGTAAACCAAAGTCCCTAATCTCAAGGAGACTCCCAGGAGGTGTTCTTAAATGGAAAAACGGAATATCAGTAACATCTATGTCTTTATCATGTTCGCCACTTCAGATGCTGACGTCTCTGACTCATTCTGATAACCACAAGGTTGGAAACCTTCTCTCTCTCTCTCTCTCTCTTTCTCTCTCTCGCTCTCACACACACACACACATACACACACACACACACACACACACACACACACACACGCACACGCACATGCACACAATGCGCGAAGTACTCAGCCGTCATGAGCCACGTAAGATGCTGAACGACACTGTGGAACACGTAACTACAATGATGGTTACCATAGAGTCTCACCAAAAACACAAAGATGTTGCCATAATAAACGCGCAGTCATTTGCCCTCAGATATGGCTGGATTGTTTGCAGTAACGTCATTGGGACGGCAGTGCAGTTTTAGGACATCAGAAGACATTCTGGCCGGCAGATAAGACATTCTGCTGCCTGAGAAACCCAAAAGAAATCCAGTGCCCTAAGTGCCTAGGCCGACCCCCGACCCCCAGGGGCAAACAGAGGAGATGAAATGCAAGTATGTGCATCCGATGGGCAGGCTGGGTGTCAAGACAAATTATTGAAAGTAATAACTTGGGGGCTAGTTGAGAATTGAAACCAAGAAGCTGTGGGACCCAAAATCTAAAGTGTGCCCTTGGGAGTAACTAAAATAACATTGATCTGGGCAACAAACTCAAAATAACAATAACACATTCTCCATCTGTAAGACGGTGCCTGGAGAGCCACAAACAAAACTTGTTTTAATTCTTGGAAGAACCACTAATCAGCTACTTAACCACTAACCAGCTACTTAAACACACTGGGGACCCAGAGTATAACAGAAGAATCTTTATATGTATCGTTTTGAGATGGTGTGAAGCAATTGATTCAGACAGGACTCAACTGTGAATTTTGTTTGGGGATATAATAAGCTTCTAAACACATTGTATCATTTGGTCCTCAAGACGGCACTGTAAATTAGATATTATCTCCATTTTACAAGTGAGAAAACTAAAACTCACAGAGGCCCAATAATGTGCAATGACCCAGTGGTGACAGATTCCAGACTCATCCTTGCATCTACCACGTCCCCAGCAAATGTGAGGGAAATTGGGATGAACTATGAAATAAGAATGCTTTGGTGCCCCTGTGCTTACCACCAAATTGGGCTCTCAATAAAATAACAAGACACTAACAAATAATGTCTAACTCTTTCCAATGATTTATATTTGCTCTGTGTGCACTGATGTTTTACCTGCATGTATGTCTGTGTGGGGAAGTCAGATCCCCTGGAACTGGAGTTACAGACAGTTGTGAGCTGCCATGTTGGTGCTGGGAATTGAACCCAGGTCCTCCGTAAGAGCAGCTGGTGCTCTAAACTGCTGAGCCATCTCTCCAGCCCCTAGCTAATGTCTTACATGTGATTTTAAGAAATACTTCTATAAATTAACAAACAGGACCTTGTTATAATGTCCAGCAATGATGACAAACCATGTGGACTTTTCATTTAAATACCCAGGTGGTCTTGAGAACTATATAATCATTATCAAATTGACGCATATCTTTATTAATTAACAAATTACTTGAAAATAGTGAGCAAAGAGAAGAAAGAATAAATTTCAAATTGAGGGAGAACATCTTTAAAAGTGAAAAAAGGAGGAAAACCACCAAAACTTAATTCACAAAGAAATTTCATTTACTGTTAAATGTGGGTGAAAAGCTCAATAAACCTGATAACAAGCTCTTCCAATAAGTAGCAATCCTATCAGCAATCGCTCTGTGCTGGACTACACCACGGGCGGGCTATACTCTCCGTGCCTTGGTATACTTAATTGATTTCATTCTAAGGGGCTACACTTGCCATTCTGAGAAGAGAAAACTGAGTTTAGAGCAGATACATATATAACTTAGCTAAAGAGATGTATCTGGCAACTGTCAAAGGTGTAATTCAAAGCCCATAATGTTAACTACCCACTGAGATACTGTACCTCACCTCAGCCTTCCAAGAGGACATTGTAGGAAGCCTATGGTTATTTGTTACCGTTGTCTGTAACATGGTGACAGTTGGGGCTGTGGGTTGAATGAAATCCTAATATAGGTGAGCATTTCAGGGCACTTGAGACTGAGTCTGAATGAGAAATGCATATAGTATGGGGTTTCCAAGGATCTGCTGGGATCAATCGAGCTCACCCCTCAGTTCAGCTGAGGCTCGGGGACAGGTAAGTCTCTTGTCCACAGTTTACTTCTAGCCTCTGGCACAACTTGATCTAAACTTTAGATTTCTAAATTCACTCACTGTTCAATGTCCTTCCTGCTCTAGGTGCATATGACCTCTCCAGGAGGGAAGGAAACAGGAACACGGAAATCTCAAGTCCTCCAAGACTGGACGTGTTACACACCTGATCTCAGTTTCCCCTTTGTACAGACAAGACAAAGAATGAGGGAAAAGTCTAACTGAATAAAAATCCCTAAGTCTAAGTGGAATGAAGCATTCAGAGTGCTCTAAGTCTGTAGGAACCCCTGCAAATGCAGGCACTATCTCACCGAATGACTCCTCAGCCATGTATCGTATGTGATGCTTCAGGTTGGATGATCACTGAAAATGCTCCTACACCAAACACAGGTCACGTAGCACAACCTATTTCCACACTCATCAGCCACCACTTTTCCCGAGGCTGTCTTTTCCCTAGACTGCAAGCATGTGTCTAATCAACTACTGTTCATTCAGATCCATATAAGACATTTGGCATACAGTGGATAGTCAACAAATATCTATTAATTGAGACGAGTACCCAGTCAATCAATGGCCAAAGCCAGGGCATGTCAATTAATGCATATGGTGGTATTTTATTTGTACTGAAATGTGATTTTAATTGTATGTTAATAAATAAAGTTGCCCTGGGGTCAGAGCTATTAGGGCCATAGCAAGAGAGTGGTGGTTAGAAGAGCTAGGTAGATTTCTGTGTGTTCAGGGATACAGCCAGCATTGGAGACATACGCCTTTAAGACCTTACATTGTAAGGTACTTACAGGCAGTGACGAGGCAGTCATGTGTTTGGGTTTACAACCAATGAGAAGGCAGAACAGAAAGACTATTTAAAGGCAGACACACAGGAAGTAGCTCTCTTGGGGAAGCTAGGAGCACTGCAAGAGGTAAGATTTTAGCTCTGCGCTCTGACCTCTCGGCTTTCTCTTTTACATTGGTTCTGTGTTTCTTTACAT